ATCAATTATATTGTGTTTAACTTATAAGTATATAATATTATATTTTTAAAACTGAAATGAAATCTTTATATAATCTTTTTTTTAATTATGAAATATTATAAAAGATTAAGTAAACTTGTAATAAAAAAGCACCCTTGCTTGGATGGTTAGGAATTTAACCACATGTCTAAGAGATATTGGGTTCAAAATCCCATGATGGCATGTTTTGGAAAAAATTCGAAAAAAAATGGTCCGACCATTTCGACCGGCTGGTTCACACCGGTTCGGACTGGTTTGAAGTTGGTTACGATCCAAATGGCTGGACCACCAATTTATCAGTTCATGGTCCGAACCAGCCGTTCCGATTTTTAAAATTATGCAAAATCGCAAGGAAGATGCCAGAGCTTCTCTAATTTCTAATGAGTAATTTTGTATATTTAGCTTTAGTCAAAAGTCAGTGCTAAAATCGGACTTAATTTAGTGATTTAGTGGGGTATGACTATCAACACCCTTAATTTAAACATTAATAAGGAAACCATATATTTAGCATTAAGTGGTTACACATTGTAAATATGGTAGTAGTAGATTTGATTTATATTTACTTGTAGAATTTCATTCCTTATGGAGATCCTTGCTTGTAGGACTCTAAGCATATATATTCATCGTCATCTGTAAAAATACACACACGAATAATTTCCAATACAATCAAACTTCCTAACATGGTATCAGAGCCCTAAGGTTCTTCTGTTTTTTTCCCATGTGTTGACTGGTCAGGTGCCCTAGCAGCCAAAATGCGGGTAGCGTCAATCATCACAAAATGTCTGTAGAGAAGCAGTGTTGTTGTTTCAATAGGATCCTCACACAGAGGAACCTAGGAAGGGGCCTAGGACGGAGTAAAAAACGAGACGCAAGATGACTAGGGAAAAGAGCCTAAATGATTCCACCGAAAGGAAAGGATGAAACTAAATCGCATTTTTCGGTGATCAACTGGTTGCGCCTTATGAAAAAGAAACACCAGCATGGCCAAATCAAGAAACGTAGTAATGGTGGAAAACCGGGGAAGGATGAAGGAACGAGGGGCTTGACACACCCGGATACAGTGTGACGATGATAATTACAAGCACCATCACCCACATCTTTTTGCAAAGAAGATAGACGGGGAAAAACTCCAGGCAGAAGCGCCAATCCACAATCTTCCTCCCTTGCAGTCGCGACACACATAGGTAAGGATAGACGCATGGGGGAAGACTAAAGCAACAGATAGACTAGGTTTTTCATAGTAAGAATAAATGAGCTAGAGAATAGGAACGAGCACGACTACACAATGGATCCAATGATAAGGATGCTTTTGGGGTATTTAGTAGACCACTTAAAGTATCTCTTTTCAAATTGTTGCGAGATTGCGAATCTTTAAACAATTAAAAAAATCTGAAGAGTGTTTCTCTTACAGCAGCCTAATATTATTCTTTTTAAAAAACGAAGGCAGACCAAAAAAACTATATATATTGCAAGCCTTCCATTCACTTGGAGAGCCTCAAGCCCATCAACCTCTTACAAAATGGGAAAATGGGTAGTTCTTCTTGATTGGGATGCATCCCAATGCAATGCAAGGAAAGGTGATATTGACAACAATACGAGCAACAAATATGCCTGATAGAGTTTGGTCTAACTTATTCATCATGACATTCAACACAGTTATTATCCTTGCAAGGAGAGACTCAAGGTCTATATGGAAGGACTCCACAACAATCGCCGCTTAAGGGGACTGGATGTGCCAGCGAAGTGAACACGTTCAAGGATATTGTTATCAATGAAAACTCTCCTATCATTACTATTTCTCAACTTTTTATAGCCATTTATATGATTGAGTATGCTTGAAGGTCTATGTTTCGTTTATACATGAATTGAAAGCATGGCATGATAGATTTTAAGCTATTAGAATTATGAATAACAATAATAGAGCCTACATATAAACAAATGAAGCTTGAAGATCCCTTTCATGCATTAAGATTTCAATTTTCTCCCAGGAAGGAGAGGATTTTTTTTATAAGTTTCAAGTGGTCAACCAATTAAAAGGATTGTGATCCACATTAATAAGAAGGAAAAGTAGAACAAGGATATCATGTAACTAATTGGAGATCCTTGTTGTTTCCTGACCATAGTTGTGCACTTGCGCCTACTTTGCCCATCTATATGGTATAGTGGTTCTCACTTTTGGGTCAGGTCAGTTTGACTTCTTTCACACAGACCTGCAATTGCATGGGCTTCCGCGGCATGTGCATGGACATAATATTAGTAATAAAATGAGTTGGTATATTTACTATTTAGCCTAATTAGCTTTAGATTTTGTGGAAGCTTGGTTGCGTAGTGGTATAAAGCTGCCCAAGCTTCTCCACATCTACCGTTCGAGCTAGCCAAGCCTCACCCTTCATTTATGAGGTTGAGATATTCAAATTGAACATATACTATACTAATGGTATGTGAGCTACTTAGAATAAAATTAGCTAGTCATAAATATTAGTCCTGTATGGACACACATTCAACAATGAAACATTTTTATTTTGATTTGGGCCACCAAGTAGCCAGTTTGGCCCTGCATGGTGGGCGGGGGTGGGCATACGCCACATACCTTTTAAGTTCATTGGATGCGAGCCGGATCAAACCCGTACTTGACCTATAGAGATCTAAAGATAAACCCAAATTAAAAAGCCGGCCTAAATTTTTGGACCGGATAGTCTAAAGAGTAAAGAGAAAAGGGGAGCCCAACCCCCGGCCCAATACTCTGATTGTGTGTTCTTCTCCACTACTCGCCCCTCCAGGGTATGCTCTTGTTCCCATTTTCAGTCTTTTCGTCACTGTGAGTCGGAGCAGGCCTTAGCTGCGGCGGCCATCGCGGTGGATCTGTAATGTCTCGGCTTGAACAACGCGAATCTGATTCGAGAAGCCGCCGGTCTCGATTCGATCAAGAACCCAATTTATTTACAGTATATTATTCTTATCCCTCGGCGTCTGTCATAGTCGTCTGCGAAATTGCGCATTTTACAGTAGACACGTACGGTCTTTGTGAGTGTGTTTCCGATCGAGAGATGATTGGTTCTCTGTTCATCTTGAAACTGGCGGCGTTTCCTGCTAGTGGGGTGGGCTCGTAATCGTCCGTGATATTACCAGAACCTATCACGGACCGCTATTATTTAAACGGTTCGGTATCGGTACGGAATGAACTCCAAAACTATTCGGTACCATTCCGTTTTGAAACGGAACGGTACAATGCCATACCCTTGCTCAAATCGTCCCAAAAAAATAAACGTACATTACTTAAAGAATATTGAATTTAATGTACAAGTTTGTATAAAAAACAAGAATGTTAAATAAAGTATTGATCTCAAATTTAAACAGATCATAAACATAAAAATAAAAGATAACAAGTCCAAAGTTAAATATCGAAATACTAATAACTATAAAAAAATAATGGCAATAGTAATGATAAATATAATAACAATAATAATGAGAGAGTTTAAAAATGAATAATAAAATATGAAGTACTCTATACACGGTAAGATGAAGTAGACAAATACCTCATATTATTTGAGATACGTACTCCGTATATAGCGTTGGACGGTTCGATCCGTGATAATCGGTTTTAAATATTTGTATCATGGTCCCATCCCATTTAGTATCAGTTCGGTTTCGGTTCGTGATGAAAAAAATCAGTCCCGTTTGAAAACACTATAAACGGTTCGTTACCATTACGGTCCAGTATGGTACCATGCTAGTTCAGTTTTTTTGCCCACCCCTACTGCTAGTATATACAAACATATAATGAGTGTAATGGTTTGTTATTTTTATTTTGAATTACCTAGTTCCATAAAGGGATGAATGTGGCTGGAATAGTGAACAGATTCTTGCATCCTGATCTTAATATGTTTTGGCTGCTCTAATCTCAATTTTATTGAATTTTGTAGTGTTTGTGTATTATTTTCATAACCTTAAATAATGTCCATGTTATCAATTCAAGGGTACGTGGAAAATCTCGTGGTACAACATATTAGATGTTACAGTTGAATTGGAATGACTGAAATGAGGTCTTGGGAGTTCAGGTGACCATCATTTTGATTACTTTTAGTATTATTGTATATCAATGCCGGTATTGTTTGATAGCTTAAACTAGAAAAGGACATAGCTCCAGGCATGTGTAAGCTGCACAATAGTGGAAATGTGTATTTATTTGCCATTCTTCATTGTTCATTTCTTGGTGGGGGGTACAATAATTGTTGAATGTAAGTCAAGCATTGTATAGTTCTGTGCGTGGTTTCTGTGTTTTGCCAACTTCTACAACTGTAATGGTTTTGAGACTTATTTTTATTGTTTCACAATGCTTTGTACACTTTTCAGTTTACTTTAAAGTTTGATACAAGAATGTGTTTTTTCTAATTGATATTTTGCATTATCACACTCTTGGAGTTTTTCAGTATTTGATATTCATCGAATTATTGAAACTCTTTTTGTAACGCCCCAGAAACCGGTCTAGAAGTTATTTAATAATTAAAAAAATAAGAATTATTTATTTATGATGATTCATTCTTTTAAAGAATTAAAATATATTTTAGAGATTCTAATCATCTTAATATAATGAGACTAATCTGATTATATTTGTAAAGTTTTAAAGTAAAAGATTAATCGATACTAATTAAAGAAAAGAATTAATACGGACCAGGTGGAACTGGTAAATACTTGTGGAATGATCAAAAAAGTTATACCGTTGGGTAAGGATTGACGAATCGAATCCAACGACGCGAACGGATCTCAATTCGGAGCAAGTTGGCCCGAAAAGTGTGTCTTTACTCAGACACGTTATTTTAAATTACGGAATACAAAACCCTAGGAATATAAATACCCCTCTCCCGTTTCTTCTTCTTCGATTGAAATCGCCGCCACCAGTCCCGTCTCCCGGGCGCTTTATAAGAGTGCCCTAAAAAAAGGTTTCTCTTATAAAAATGTCCAAAAAAGGTTTGATATTATGAGACTACCCTCTATCTACCCTCACTTAAAAGCACGAAAAATTAGCATGTGAGATTCCCAAATTACCCCTATTCTTCGAAAGCTATTGTCGAAAGAATCTAATTATGTTCCACAGCCGTTTAACGATTTCCCCCCTTTTTAACCCAACCCGAAATTAACTATTTCAGTTTTCCCCTCCAGCTCCTCAATCGTACGCACACTACACATTTGTTCTGCAAATTGGCAACCTAATTTGAAAGCAGAGCAAAACGATAAGATTGGGGAACGCGTTTAGAAGCTATTGCGTAGCGTAGAAGGAGGAAAAAAAAGCGGAAAGAGATTACGGTAAACCCTAATTTTCGATACCCCAAAATTTGATTACAAACCCTAATTTTTCTTTACACTAAAGAGTTACGGAGGAGTAATTTTTCACGAAAAACTCTAATTGAGCCAATTGTGTTATGATTCTACATATCTTATGGTAAACCCTACATATCTAAGATAGAAATAAACCCTACTCCGAAATAAACCCTATTCGAACATAGTCTGCGAAACCATACGAACATTTAGGGAATATTTGGATATGATTATGATGTTTACGAATATTCGACGTTATTTCGATTGGTCTCGACTATTCGACATTCTTTCGACGAATTTCGAATACACTTAAATGTGATATTTTATGTTGTTTATGTTTTTTCGATTGCAGATGGGTAGAGATCCTGTTATATTATATGTTGTTTATGGTGGAAAGTGGACCACAGATCACGAAGGGAAGTATGTTTATAGTGGATCCGGCAAGAATATAACTTCGTTGTTTTGGGATGTTGCTAATTTGGACTTTGATGCCTTTTTGAAAGCCATTATTCAAAAGCTTGGTTGTGATATGAAAAATCAAAGGCCAAAAATTGCATTTCAAATTCAACGGCTTGAAAAAAATATTCCACCCTTTTCCATTGATTCAAGTGAAACACTACATGTATTTCTTTTGGAATTAAAGCAAAACTTTACAGCCTTGCATGTTGAGATGGTTCCAGTTGAACGTGAAGAAAAAGAACAAGAAGAGCAAATACATGAAGTCCAAGAAGAACTCTTGGGATTGCAATCAGCAATTGACCCCTTCGTTCCCCTGATTGATTGCTTCCAGGATGACTTCTTCAATTGTACGATTGTTGCTGATCAAGAATCTGGGCGTGATCAAGAAGGTATTGTTTTTCAGAAAAATGCAGGGAGGTGTGATCAAAATCCTCAATTCGTTGAGTCTAATGCCACTCCTGTGAAGAGCCCAACAACTGCTCAAGTGGATGAAGATGATTATATTGGTGGTGATAATGATGAGTTAAATGAGGACGAGTGCTTTATTCGGAGGGACGATCCTTCTTTTGATACGTCTTTTGGTAATGAGGTAGACGCGACATTGGATGGTGGCTTTGAAGATGGGTCGGATTTGGCCATCGGACTTGAGTTTGCTAACAAAAGAGAGTTGAAGAAGAAGATGGTTGATGTTTCCATACAAGGACATTTTGAAACAAAGACTGTGAAGAGCGACAAGAAGAGGTATGTGTTGAAATGCAAGAGTGACAAATGCTCTTGGATGATGATGGCATCCATCGTAAAAAACACATCTCGATTCGCTATTAAAAAATACAACGGGAAACATAATTGTACAGTTGGTGACCGTAGCCGAACACACAGCCAAACAACATCGAGATATGTCTCAGATTTAATTTTAGAGAGTTTTGATGGGACGGATGATTTAATTAGGCCCAAAAATATCATGACTTTCATGAAAAACAAGAGCATGTCGATCACGTATGCAAAGGCTTGGTGGAGTAGGAAGTTCGCAAATGAAGCCATGTTTGGGATACCCGAAACTAGTTACGAAAAGCTTCCATTATACTTGCACATGTTGAAGAAAGCAAATAATGATCTTGTAACAACCCACCTAGAACTTGATGAGGGGGGTGCTTTCAAGTATGTATTCATAGCATTTCATGCATGTATTTCTGGATTTCAAGCATTGAGGCGTGTCATCTCCGTTGACGGAACATTTCTTAAGACATCCTATAAGGGTGTTTTACTCATTGCAACGGCTCAAGATGGTGACTTTCACCAATATCCCCTTGCCTGGGCTATTGTGGACTCTGAAAACAACGACTCATACTCTTGGTTTTTGGCCATTTAAGGAAGTTAATTCCTGATTCTAAAGACTTGGTGTTCATTTCGGACAAACACATTAGCATTCGAAATGGGATAAGAAAGCACTATTCGGCTGCGGATCATGGATTGTGTAGGTATCACATCACTTGTAATTTGAGGAAGCGTTATCCAAAGATGTGCAAAAAGGGGTTGGATAAACTTTTTGAGAACCTTGCAAATGCATACACCAAATGGTCATTCAAGAGGTTGTATGGCGACTTGAAAGCAAGGTACCCAGTTGCTGGCAATTACATTGACAATATCCCAAAGAAACGATGGGCCAGGGCGTATTTTGAAATAAACCGGTACCAAATCATGACGACAAATGGCGCCGAATCAATCAATAGCGTGTTGAGGGAGGACAAGGAACTTCCTATTGTTGCACTTTTAAAAGCAGTCTAGAACATGACATTAAGATGGCGTGCAAAAAGGCAACAAGAGTTAAGGTCTCTCGATGCGTCAAATCCCCCTGTTACCCCGGCTGTTGAAGCTGAAATGCGCAAGAGATTCAACACTGCCTTGCGCTTGGAATGTCATCAGTTGAATCAATACGAGTTTGAAGTCAAGGGAGTGCACTCTGACCATGTTGTTAACCTTTCAAATAAAACTTGCACCTGCCAAGTGTTTGACAAGGATAAGATACCTTGTGTGCATGCACTCGCTTGTTCAGAACGCACAGGCATAGATTGTTATAGCCTGTGTAGTAAATTATATACAAAGGAATACATGTATATCGCATACGCGGAAACAATCTACCCCGTGCCACATGAAGATGACTGGGATGCCGATGGAATGGAGCTCATAGAAGTCAAACCCCCTACATTGAACAAGCAAAGAGGAAGGCCAACAACGAAGAGATTTCCATCGGACGGCGAGGCACGAAAAAATATAAATTGACATGTTCTGGTTGCCAAGGAAAAGGGCATACGGTACGGACATGCGCAAAGAGACCTCGTAAAGACACATCTACGACAAATGACTTGAACAATACTGATTGCATGTAATTGCACTACGCCAAAAACAGAATCAGAAGACTCTTGATTAACTACTATTTATGTAAACACAGTAGTAGAAAAAAAACAGACTACTGTGACTTTTTCTTGGCTACAGAACAGTAGTCTAGCTATTATGCTTTAAAACTATTTTTAAAGTTTCGAGAAACGGTAATCTATCATTAGTCATCTGTGTCAGTTCAAAATACAGTTTTTGTTACAAGAGTTGTTAATAACAAGTTAAGAATACACTATTTAAACAGTAGTCTGGTTTGTCTAGTCTAAAACTGTTTTTAAACTTATTAGAAACAATTATCTATTGTTAGTTGTCTGTTTCATATGGTTTTTTTGTCACAGTTTTTTATAATAGGAATAGAAGACTATGTTGTAACAGTAGTCTATGAATTAAAGGTAGAACTGTTTTTAAAGTTGTGAGAAACGGTAATATATTATCAGTAGTCTGTTTCATCTAAAAATACAATTTTGTTGCCACAGTTGTCAATAATTAGTTAAGACTACTATTTCTAAACAGTAGTAAATTTTTTAGTTTATAACTGTTTTTAAACTTATAAGAAATAGTAATATATTGTTAGTTGTATGTTTCATATGGTTTTTTTTGCACAATTGTTTATTATTAGAATGAAAGACTCCCTTGTAACAGTGGTATATTTATATAGCGTAGAACTGTGTTTAAAATTCATAGAAACCGTAATCTATTACAAGTTGTCTATAATTAATTAAGAATACCCTTTTTAAAATGTAGTTAGACTATTAAGCCTAGAACTGTTTTCAAAGTTTTGAGAAACCATAATGTATTACTAGTAGTGAGTGTCACACCGTTTTTTTTCACGCTTATTTATAATAAATAAAGAAAACTATTTTTAAGAGAATTGTGTGTATTAAGCGTACAACTGTTTTTAAAGTCTTGAGAAATAGTAATCTAATACCAATTGTTTGTGAGATATGATTTTTTTGGCAGAGTTCTTTATAATAAGTTAAGAATACTCGTTTTAAACAGTAGTCTAGCTCTTAAGCCTAGAATTATTTTAAAAGTTCAGAGAAACGGTGATCTTTTTTACAATGAAAATATATACACTCTCTAACTTTACTTTCATACTTGCAAAATTTATCCAACAATCAAATAACCGTTGTTTTAAACAATTATATGGACATGAAAAAATAAACACTTCCATTCAAACGAAAGAAAAAGTACATAGACAGGCTGGGTACTCTCCCGCTACACACAAAGGGAATTGGTAACCCATACAACTTTGGCTTTAGCACCAAGATCCATAAACTCCTGTATGATCCTTTCCATCTTCATCAATTCTTCTGAGGAGATCAGCTGCAGCACTAAACAACTGGACAAAATTCAATCTGTTATGTCAAAACGCAGCCACTATTGGGTACATTTGGAAGCCAAACAAACGATACTTTGGTATTTTCTAAATAAGTAATTATACCTGTTCGTTCTATGAACAACCATCTTTAGTGATTGCAGTGGGGAAGATATTCTTTGTATCTCCTTTAGCCAAATGCACGTATATTTTGACAATCTTCAAAACCCACAATTATTTTATGAGTTTTTTGTCAAACATTCACATGGAGTACTTTCTTTTATTTTTTGAACACTAATAAATCTAATACAGTGTAGTCTATGTTCATACATTCTCAACCTATTAAAACACATAGAGTTACTGCCCTCACGGGGGTTCCAACCTGTGACCTCCCAATTGGGAGAGTCACCTTGATGTTGCTAGACAAACAAGGTTGAACAAAACAATTATTTGATTAAGTTTAGAAACTCTTTAGATAATACACAAAATTTCAGCTACTTATATGCATACCTACTTTAACAACTCTTTTGGACGAAATTCATACTTTTCGAGGTCTTTCAATCTGAGAGATTTTCTCTGTGGGCCCACTAGTTGTAACAGAAAATAATTCAACATGCTGGCAACTCTCTCCACCTGAAACGAAAACCAAGCAAGATGGCTTGATAATGAATCACGATCAACTCTGCTAACTTTGACAAGAAATTAGAAAGCAAAATATACCATCTTAGGAAGTAGAAATGGGGTTGTAATCTGTTCCGAAGTAAAAGCCAGCAAGCTCACATCTTCATTTTCCAGCTTTAGAAAGCAAAATATACCATCTTCTCTTCATCTTTAGCAATCTGGAACAGCAACCAATCCAAACTGATGGGGATTAAGGTGATAATGATAATAGAGCTAATGTTCACAAAATGGAAGACAATGAAGTGAAGAACTGAAGATCACTAATAATCCCTTCATTTCCGAATACTTTTCTCACATTCCTTCATTCCTTGGCACAAAGTTAAAGAGTGAGTTTAGGCAGGTCTAGGTCCTCTTTCAAGTGTGTAATAAAAACAAGAAAATGTAAGGTGGGTTGGTAAGGAATTGGAAAAAAAAATTGGATGAATGGAGTATTCTAATAAGTATGCTTTTTCCAAAATACTTCGTAGGAAATAAGAACACCAGTTTGGAATAACTGAAAGTTGAAACTGTAAACACTATCATGGAACAAAGAGAGTTATACTTAACTGGAATGTTGGCCTTGACGTCCCAGAAACGAATTGTGCTATCAGTTGATGCAGATGCAAGTTCATTGTCCAACATGAATTTCACGTACGAAACAGCTTTACTCTGCCCACTGAATACATGCAGGGGCTGCTTAATACTTCTCAAGTCATAATAGTGGATGTGGTGATCAGCAGAATCAACCTGTAGGGCACAGACTAAATAATTAGGGACACCAAAATTCCTATATTTTCTGCATCCAAATGCATATGTGGTAACACATGACCAATATGAATTCTTTACATACAAACACTACAGGTATTAAAATATTATCAAGGTACTGGTTGGATCAGGAATCAAACTAGTACAGCCGATTCTGAAAAACGATTGATATGACGATATTAAAATTTATACCAATTTCAAAACGTTTCCCTATGCTTATTGATATGACGATAATAGTGAAAATGATTGTAGATTGAATACAAATATCCCAATTATTCCAGCCAAAGTGGAGTAGCAACCCAGTATAACACATATGAACATATAACCAGACTCAAATATATCGTAATCATAAAAACCAACAACAATAAGCTAAAGCCAAAGAAGACACCACAAGACCCTAGCCTATAGTATTAACATGTACCAAACACCATCGAGTTTTGGTGTTGATGCTGATACATTAAGAACACTTAAACACATAGAAAAGGGATCAACCACCCTTTGAAACTCATTAATTATAATACATCAACACATTTATGGACAGAAACTTAATCAAATCCAAGAATGAAACAAGAGAAAGTTAGAAATCATAAAATCTCAAAATAAGTGTTGAAACTCACACTCATGGAAAGAAAAACAAAGATTTGGGAAAGAAAAACAAAGGTAGAAATCCACCGTTATTGACGTCACGAACGACTTTGCAGCCGTCGATGTTCGTGGTCTTCTTTGATATCGCTGGTGATCTTGCTCGTGGCACCTGGGATCGAAAAAAATATGAAGAGATACGAAACTGGATAAAGATGCGGCAATTGCTTTGAGATTGTAAATGGATTTAGTGAGTGCAAGTTTTCAAAGAGGAAAAACGAAATTAGGAAGAGGGAAAATGAAATGGGGGAGAGGGAGAATGAAATTGAGAAGAGGGAAAATGAATTTAGTAGAAGGAAATGAAATTTTTAGAGTTTAGTGGTGTTTGTATGTGGTTATAATAAACTGATCAAAATTGTTTTTGAACTATTTTTAATTTATAAGCTGTATTCGAGTCATATTTTAAGAGTCTATTCTTTTTGTTGGAAAAATTAACTTCTCATTTTTTCTATGTTCTTCTAGATCTTATCTTATCTGATCTTGTCTAATCTAATATGATGAGTTCTAGTCGAATTTGATATGATCTGATTGAAATTATATGTAAAGTTATTTTTTATCAGATCCAAACTGGTTTTTATTAGAATAAGATACTGGTGAACAACGTGTATACGTGTTCAAATTGAATTTCTTGAGTAACGTAGATAGATACTTGTGAACTAACATAACTGAATGACTTGGGATACAATAAGTCATTTAGGCAGATAGTGGTGATCCTAAATAAAAAATAAATTAGGTAGATAACTGTTTTTTTAAGATTACATTTGATCTTCTTAGATTTGAATTTGATTTGATTTGTTTTGATCTGTTTTGGTCTAATCCAATCTAATTTGATCCGATCTGATGCATTTATATATATTAGATCGGGCAAATTTGCTCTGATCTTAATATATTTGATCGAATTTGATCCTGTATAATTAAATTGTTTTTTTGAAGATTAGATCTGATCTTAACATATTTGAATTTGATTTGATCTGATTAGATCTGTTTTGTTCTGATTCAATCTAATTAGATCTGATATGATGCATTTAATGATGAAATATACAAGCAATCAGACCTGATTGGGTTTGATTTGATATTATCTTATATTATCTAATTAGATCTAATCTTGACCGGTCTAATTAGAATTGATCTAATCTGCTTGATCTAATTGTAGTTATATTTAAAAATCTTTTAATTTGATTTGATCTAATCTTATTTGATGAGATATGATTAGATTAGATATCATCTAAAAAAAGTATAAATATGTTAAACAGAGATACAGTGGGTCGCATGAAATGTACAAGCAATCAGACATGATTGGATTTAATTTGATCTTATGTTATCTAATTACATCTAAATTGACTGATCTAATTGGAATAGATCTAATATGCTTGATTTAATTGGAGTTATAGTTAAAACTCTTTTTCTAATTTGATATTGTCTAATTTGATTTAATGAGATCTAATTTGATTACATATCATCTAAACAACATATAAACATGTTGAACTGAGATGTAGCGGGTCACATGAAATATACAAGCAACCAGACATGATTGGATTTGATTTGATCTTATCTTATCTAATTAGACTTAACTTAACTGATCTAATTGGAATAGATCTAATTTGCTTGATCTAATTGTAGCTATATTTAAAACTCTTTCTAATTTAATATTGTCTAATATGATTTGATGAGATCTAATTTGATTATACTACCTCCGTCTCATTCTGTTTGTCCACTTTTGACTTTTGGAACTGTTCATCTAAGCACTTTGACTCATCAGATTCTCTCAATGTGTAAGCCTAAATATAGTTATGTGTGATTTTGTTTGATTTGTCTTAACATATAGATTATTAATATATAATTTCTATAATTTTTTAATATACAAATTACAAGATAAAATAGATTAAAGAAATGCATTGGATGGTGTGCCAAAATGTAAGTGGACAAAGAGAGTGGGACGGGGGAGTATATCATTTAAACAACATATAAACATGTTAAACTGAGATGATGTGATCTGATTTGGTATAATCTTATCTCTCTGTGTTTTTTTTGAAATACAATAAGTCAGAGAATATGAACGATGATGTCTTTTTAAAAAAAATTGAGACGAAGAGTATAAAAAATCAATTTTAAAAAATTATAATTGAGACGAGAATATATTAAAACGTTTATTTTTTAAAAAATTAATTAATGTTAAATCTTTTGAGTAAGTTGTTTAAACTTAAATATAATAATTTAACTTAAAATTGAGGGAATACATATTTTTTAAAATGAATTGAAATCTATCATTTTTAAAAATTTAAAAAAACTTAGTTTAAAATTTTGAAATGAAAAAAAGTATAGAAAAAAAATTCAAACTAGATCTTTTTTTTTAAAATACTATTTTTTAAAATGATACCTAAGAATTTAAACAAAAATTGAGGAACCTAGTTTTTTTTTTAATTTGGCCAAAAGATATGTATCCCTCTTTTTCCCGCCTCTAATTTCACTTTGGATAACTTATGCAAAATTGGGGGGACTAGATTTTTTTGATTGAAAATTTGGTCAAAATTATGGAAACCTACTAGTCCCGCCTCCAATTTCACCCATTCCCTTCTTGAAACCCTCCTAGTCCTGCATCCAATCTCATTCCTTCTCTTCTTCATTCAGAAACCGAGCATAGATTTCGAGAGAGGAGAGCGCGGGCATCCTTCCAACCTGCATCACACGTCCAAGGGTTCCTCTCCCAACCTCGGTACTCTAGTGACGAGGAGGAAGTACCTCATGGATTCGTGGATCTTGAGCTGCTCCTTCAGCATGATTGCGCCTTCCAAGGCCTTCTTCACCGACGTCGCCTTCTCCATGACATCTGTTTGGTCTTTAGTGTGAGTGGCAGAGCAAGATTGAGGAACATGGTTTCTTCTGGTGGAGCTCAGAAATGGCGGCCCGGCGATGGTGGATCTACAGCAAAGAGATTGGGTCAAATGTTTTCAGACCATTTGACCATTTCAGGTTAAATGTTTTCTAAAATTTCAGGCCCGGAGATGGTGGATTTCAGGTTTTCAGACCATTAATAAGTGTGAAAAGTATGCAGAGAAGTTGGAGCCACACAAAAGAGGCCTCAATCGACACCCGGACCCCAACAATCTTCCCCCGATCATCGGCATAAACTTTTTCCAGCAATCACTGACAACAGATGATAAGATGATCTTTGCAGTTCCGATGGTGAGGCGTAGTTGTTTTGATTGATTCTTTTTTAATCATTTTTCTCCAAATGTGTAGTCTTCGTTTTGTTTGAATTAAGTAGGTGCAGAGCTATGAAGATTGGTACAGTCTGTGTTAAGAGAGTTTGAAGTCTGTGCAAGTAGTGAAACTTCATTGAAATAGGTAAATAAATTCAATTCACATATATTCTCTTCATTGTAATTTGTTAGGGATGAAAATGCATACCTGTGAAAAGTACTTTGTTAGGGATGAAAATGAACTAAAGAAGTTGTTTACTAAGTGTGAAAAGTTTGGCCTCATATCTGATTTTTTGAAACACTTTAGGGCTAATGAGGTTAAATTTTCAACAAACCACAAAGAGACATTGTCTTTTGAACTTGATTTGAATCATTTCCCTAAAGTTCTGCAACTTAAGAGGACTGGATTACTTAAAGACAATTAGTTGCTTACTTTATCCTTGATTCCACTGATGGGTTTGGTATTCCTATTTGTAGGAATGAGAACCAAATATGGCAACCCCCTTGGGAGAAGTGAAGAAGCTGAACAAGAGTTGCAGTACAGAGGGCGGCACCAGGGAAGGCCCAGATTTACAGCCGCCCAATTTTCTTACAACTTTATTTTTTCTTTTCTTTTAATTGTATTTTAGTCAAGGCAAAGCATTCCGCATCCCGTCTTTGAAAGTTGTATCCGTGTTGTCGCCCCCGGCCAGGGACCCTCCCCATTGTCGTTACTACCTTTTACAAGACTGAAGGTTCTGGAGCTTAGAGAGTGTGATCTATCTACCTCTGCTGCCCTGAGACTTCCCGAGCTGAGACATACTTTGGAGAAATTGGTTTGCCATAATTCATCTGTAAGTTCTCCCCCCTTGATTTTACTGAAAAAATCAGGGTATAATTACTAGTCTATTACTCACCTTTTTTGAGTTTGATTTAAATATTTTAAAAAACTTGTTTTTATTTTAATTTGCAGTTTGATTTATTTTGGGTTTGTCTAAGAGTTTTGTGGGCAATTTTAGAAATGAAATTTTTTCTGTGCGGTCTTAAACATTTATTCTATTACACAGTTGTTTTTCTGTATGCTCTTAAAAGTTAATTCTTTTACATGCATGGACCCCTGGTTGATGATTTGTCATGTGTGCTTTGAAGAACATTGTTTGTTTATTCTTCGATAATTGGCACTCAAGTTATATGATGAAGTAAATGCGCTCATTTCACTATTTGATTGGTAATTCATTTGCTTTTAGACAAAACAGGTCCAGGTTGGTGGATGTCCTGCATATAGGATTGATAAGAAGCTTGGGAAAGGAGGATTTGGTCAAGTCTATGTTGGTCGTCGAATTAATCCTCCAAATCCAACTCAAAGAACTGGTTCAGGAGCTGTAGAGGTATGGTACTACAAATATATTTGCTTCCCTAGCTAAAAATTCAGGAGATGTGGGTTTCATGTTTTTAATGTCTTAACTGCATTGTTTAGGTAGCCTTAAAATTTGAGCATAGAAGCAGCAATGGTTGTAACTATGGTCCGCCATATGAGTGGAAAGTAACGCTTGCTAGAGTTGATAATCTTCGGAAGTGCACCAAAATAAAGTTTTTGGATTCAATCTCCCGAGAAGCATATCAACATTTGGCAAGGTAAATGTCTTGGTGCTTTAGTTCATGTGGTTCATGTACAAGGATTTTTTAAGTGTTTGTTTTATGACTTGCATACGAACTATGGCCTTGCTTTACTTGTACTTAGTTTAAAGGGGTAGTCATCTCAGCTAATCCAAAATGTTACTGCCATTTTGCCAAATTATGAACATAACATCCAAATTTAGAATCTAAAGAGCACTTCAAAAAAGATATTTTTCTTACCCTTTTCCTTTTTTTCCCACATTGATCAAGTATTTAGTTTTTAGAGGTTTATTTCCATGACTAATTTTCTTCCAATTGTGTGTATTTGGAATCTTTTATTCATATCTACAAATGAAGATGCTGATATGAGTGCTAAGTTTAGTGGATGTGCAATAGACTTATAGCTTTACCATGAGTTGTTGATGCATCTTTGAAGTGAATAACTGGCTATTAGTATTCCTACTTAGTTTGTCATTGTGCTTTATCATGTCCAGTTTTCTTGTTTTGATTATACTTCTTTAATAATGTTCTGCACATGGGTGAGCTCTTGCACTACACTATGTGTTAATTTGTGAGTATAATTTTTATGAAGATCACCCATTGGGATTTGGTAGAAAAATGATGATTTTTTAACATTATTTTTGTATAGGCAATTGAATGTTTGTATCGCCACAATGATATTGCTAGGCTCAACCCCAAAGACTGTTGGTATTGGTTAGAAGGGAATTGTTTTAATCTTGCAAGTTTGAGAGGCCAAGTAAAGTACAAGAAGTCACTCTGTGATACTCACTCCTCCACTCACTCCTCCACATACTCTGCATATGATAGTCACTTTGCACAAATTTTATTTTGAGGTTGTAATATATATGCTGCATTAAGCTGCTCCACTAATATTTAAGTAAATATTAAGTTATTAGATGATATTAATATTTTGAATATATGATTTACTTTTGTTTCATGATTAATATTTTATATTTGAAACGAATTTTTAATTATTAAAAAAGGGTGCCTATGATTTAGAGAGACAAAACAAAATAACTGTGTTCGGATAAACAATTCGACCACTGTTCAACTTGATAGTTTGAATCATATACTGACAACTACACAAACTTGTAGTGTTAATCACTGCTAGACATCTGAAACACAGTTGTTTGAAATGAAACAACATAGTCTTCTATGTTTTAGATATACCTTAAAAAACAACAGTTGTTTGATGCAAATATTTCTAGTGGTCTTTCAAGCAGTTGTTTGATAACCAATTTGATTACTATTGAAACATATAGTTTGAATATTTCAAGGACAACTAAAGAAAATCATAGTGTTAATAATCTTTATACAACTAAAACAAACAACTGTTTAAAATAAGACCAAAGTAGTAATCTCAATTTGTACATACAGCACAAAATAACAGTTGTTTGATGAAAATATTTGTAGTGGTCTTCCGAGCATCTGTCTGATAATCAATTACACTACTGTTCAAAAATATAATTTAAATATTTCAAGGACAACTGCAAAAAAGCATAGTGTTATTGCGCACTATACAATTGAAAGAAACAGTTGTTTAACATACAACAAAATTAGTAGTCTATGTTTTAGAAATATAACACAAGATAACAGTTGTCTGATACTATTTTTGTTTAGTAGTCTTCTGAGCAGCAGTCTGATATATCTTTCAACTACTTTTGAAACTAGAAATCTATATTTTTGACCAACAACACCAAACAATAGAAGTCTAAAGTTGAAAACAACAGTAGTATATATTATAGATAGACAACAAAAAATCACAGTTGTCTTTAACTCTGAAAAACAGAAGTCTTACTCATACGAAGACAACTTCAAAAACATGTACTCTGAAAGATCACAAAATAGGTGTCGTCAATCATACTACACAATTGTTTTTAAACAGTAGTCTGTAAATATATCAGACAGTTGCTCGGAAGACTACTAAAACCAACACAGTTAGACAACTAAAAGAAACAGTTGTCAACATCTGTTTTTGACGTAGTGTTGTATTCGAAGAGAGCTCGAAAAGTTTCGAATAAAAATAAATTCGATTATTTCAATTAAAAATAATTCTATTGCAGTCGAATTTATCAAATTGATTGTGTAAAATATTGGTAATTTTTTAATATTGAATACACTGACTAATATTTGAATTTTGAATGGAGCGAAGGGACTTTTACACACTAATTAATAATAATAATAATTAATAATAATAATAATGATAATAATAATAATAATTCGATCATTTCAAATTTTCGACTACATTTGGAACGTATTTGACTGCATGTTATGCATATATATATGGTTTGAATGTATTTATGACGGTACATGAGTAGTTGGGGAAATTCAAATATGGTTTGAATGCATTTAAGAGGTTTTGAATGCATTTACAACGTTTAATGAGTAGTTGGGGAAATACAAATATGGTTTGAATGCATTTAATATATTAGTGCAATATATACTAGTGCAATTGCTTATCTTTATTCACAAAAACTCCTCTTAAAATGCCAAAAACTTTCGTCATATATCTGGAGGAAGAGGATAAAGACAGCTGTGACCCGAACTATGAACTGGTAAGTTATCATAACTAGTGCAATTAATTATTTTTTAATTCTTTATCACTAAAGAGAATTCCAATACAACCAGCGTATCCCGGATTCGGCTGTGAGGTGTTTGTGCGACCTGGACGAATTGGTAGTATACTCTGGCCCGCAAAAAAAGAAGTTCATTGTTCAACTAGAACGCCGGCAGGAGGGAACGTTTATGGTGAAAAGTGGTTGGCATGAAGTAGTAGATTTTTATCAACTATTGCCCGAGTTGATCCTGCATTTCAAATATTATTGGGAAAACGTATTTTTTCTTACTGCGTATTGGGATGGTGTGGAGTGTTTTGGTTTGTAGTCCTTGGAGTACCGGATAGGTACTCATTGATGGATTTTGCCCTTATCAGTGACTTGATGTGCTCGGTAGTTGAATACGTAGTTCGAAGCATAATATGACACGAATGCTCGGAAAAAAATTTCTTGAAGATCACTTCCCCTTGGTACTCTGTTGACTAAAAGTCTATTGGAGTACCAAAGGGAAGTGATCTTCAAGAAATTTTTTCCGAGCATTCGCATACTACAATGCAAATGCTCGGAACAAATTTCTTGAAGATCACTTCCCTTTGGTACTCCAATAGACTTTAAGTCAACAGAATACCAAGGGGAAGTGATCTTCAAGAAATTTTTTTTCGAACATTCGCATCATATTATGCTTCGAACTACGTATTCAACTCCCGAGCAGCTCAAGTCACTGATAAGGGCAAACTCCATCAAAGTCAAATTCTATTTGGTAGTGGTCTAATAAAATGTAACATATGAATTTATTTTTTTGAAACACCATTTAATGATTTGTTATAAAAAAGTGCATGAAAAGGTCTATTTGGGAAGGGTCGAAATCTTGTCAAAATATTTCGAAATTCTTTTTAGTAGTCGAAACTCTGTTGAAGGCCATTTAATGATTTGTAATAAAAAAAAGTGAATGAAAAGGTCTATCTGGGAAGGGTCGAAATTCCGTGAAACATCAACTCAATCAAAAAATTGCGAGTGGTCGAATATGGTCACAAAGGTCAAATTGGTCGAATTATCCAATAAGAAAAAGTAAGATGCCTAAGAACTTAACCGAAAAAAGAGTTGTACAAACACTTATCCCCAGGCACGCATACCTGGAAAAGATCAGATAATGATAATGTTCATTAAAAAAAATTCAATTAAATTTTTGTTTACCGTCTGTGATGACGGTGAACTCCCACCATAAAGGTGTTGTTCCCCACCGGCCTCATCACAAGCTTGTCCCCAACACGCAAACCATTCGAATCAACAAAGTAACGCCACATTCTCTTCAAGAACCCATCACCAATACAATCAACGTTGAGTGTGCAGACCACGGGCTGCATGTTGGGTCCTATGAGAGTGACATCTGTTTTTCCCTCTACAAATCCATTTGCTTCGTAAAATTCTTCACTTAAGGGCTGAGACAATAACGGATTAAAAGTCATTAATTGATTGAGGAAAATACACCATGTATTCCAAAAATTCATCAAGAACAAAAAATTTGTGATTGGTCGAATTTGGTCAAAAAGGTCAAATACGTCGAATTGTTCATTAAAAATGATATTTTAAAAGCATACCAGCTTCTGGGATGACTCCAGAAAATGTGATTCTTCCAACTTGCAAACAAAGACATCATCATCATCATCTGTAACATCATCTGCATCTGATAATTGCAAATCACCGCATACATTACAGTTAGAATTAGAAAGAATTCGGGGAGGGCGGGTAAAATATACCATATTTCAAAGTCTTACCAGAATCATAATCAGGAATTCTTATTGGGTAGTCAACTTCTGAACCAAGGGTCGAAATCACAATGGTTGTGTATGCTGTCTCTGATAATTTTTTGAACAGAATATGCCAAAGATTTTCGCATTGGCGGTCATAAAGAAAGTATCTCCATCCATTCTCGGCAGCGAATCGATGCTTGCCGTCATCTCCAAGAACAAATCGGACTGGATAGCACCCAATCCGAGTATATATATCCAATCTCTCCTCCCGTGAATGATAGCAAGAAGGAATGACCTGTAAATCATGAAATCGAGTTTAAAGCCAAGCATGCATGTGTTAGTCATATGCATTCAAATGAAATCTTACCGTGCCGGTATAAGCATCCCTTTTGATGACCACAACGAAATCTGATTGCGGCATTTTTACTCACAGCGGCGTTGGAGAGTGTTCGTGAGGGTATAAAGAGAGGGAGTCGCAGTCGAAGCGGTGGAAGCGGCGAAAGCGAAGCGACAAGAAAAGAAGAAGAAGAAGAAGAAGAAGAAGAAGAAGAAGAGGAAGAAGAAGAAGAAGAAGAAGAAGAAGAAGAAGAAGAAGAAGATAAAGGTTGGAATTTATGAGAAATTTTGACTTTTCAATTCTCATCTGACATAAATGTGGCGTGGGACTCACAGAAAATTACTCCGTACAAAATTTCGTCTATATTTAAAAAAAATTTGTCCAATTTTGTCTTTTTCGTATCTCTAATTTTGTACATTTTGGAGAAGTACGGAACCGTACTACATTCCCAATGTTGACTGTAATTTGGACAAGTAGGACCATTACTGTTGCGCTGATCAATATTGTAGTGGAAAAGTACTCTTGGTGGGGGGACCTTGTTTCTAGATTTATATATTTTTTTATTTTTAGATTTTATTTCAATATTTCTAGATATTATTTTTTTTTTCTATTTTTTTATAATACTCTTCATTAACAGTCTGAAGTCCGACTATAATTGTTACAACTACCTCTACAGTTATCCTCTTAACCGGAATGCTACATCCACTACGGTACAAAATTAATTCTTAACACCAACAGGTACGACCTTAAACACAGTTATCGTCTTAACTAGACTGCTACATCCACTACGGTCCGAACTTAGTTGTTAACACCAACAGGTACGACCTTGCTAAAGTTAAACTCTTAACTGGACTGCTACATCCACTACGGTCCAAACTTAGTTGTTAACACCAACAGGTACGACCTTGCTACAGTTATCCTCTTAACTGGACTGCTACATCCACTACGGTCCGAACTTAGTTGTTAACACCAACAGGTACGACCTTGCTATAGTTATCCTCTTAACTGGACTGCTACATCCACTACGGTCCGAACTTAATTCTAAACACCAACAGGTAAAGACTGCCGCTACAGTTATCCTCTTAACTGGACTGCTACATCCACTACGGTCCGAACTTAGTTGTTAACACCAACAGGTACGACCTTGCTACAGTTAAACTCTTAACTGGACTGCTACATCCACTACGGTCCAAACTTAGTTGTTAACACCAACAGGTACGACCTTGCTACAGTTATCCCCTTAACTGGATTGCTACATCCACTACGGTCCGAACTTAGTTCATAACACCAACAGGTACGACCTTGCTACAGTTAAACTCTTAATTGGACTGCTACATCCACTACGGTCCGAAATTAATTCTTAACACCAACATGTAAAGACTACCACTACATTTTCCCATCCCGCCTTTTCATGAAATGGCGGAATAATTTTCCCATCCTGCCTTGATATTTCGGACTAAATTTTCCCGTCCCGCCTATTCATGAAATGGCGGGACTCTTCTAAAAATTCCCGTCTATAACCATTTTCGTCCCTTTCCGCCTTGCTCGGCCTATATAAATACGCAACTATGTTTAGGGTTTTGCCAATCTTCTGTTCCGTATTGCCTGCGAAAATAAAAAAGATCATTATGTTCGATTTTACAGTAATCCTCGAGCATGATCCCAAGTTCAAAGAGCGATTGGTTTGTTCATACCTTTTTCATTATATTTTCTTAATTTTTTAAAGTTATATTTATAACTCACAAATTCATTGGATCTGTTGTAGGCGCTACCCTGACATGTTCAATTTTGTTTCCCGGATAACACAGTTGTGACTCTCCATTCCAAACTAGCGCCACACACTTTTGAAGTAAAGGTTCAAGCATGCAGCCATGGAAATATGTTTTTCAGGGAATCATGGCCAGCGTTTGTTGAGAATCACGGCCTAAATGAGAGTCATGTCCTGTTTTTTCAACATTTTGGTGATTGTGATTTTCTCATCCATATCCTGAAATACGCATAAGGGTATTTTTATGCGTACTTGAAGTTTGATGTTATGTATTTTTTAATAAAAACTTTTTATTTCCGAATTCAGATTATTGTTCTACTTTCACTTCCCACCATAATTTCCTCTCACTGCTCTTTTAATTATAAACTTCCATTAGTCATTGAAAGTAACGTAATTTATAAAACAAGAATTCTTTTTTAGGGTGTAATAGTACCATTCGAAATGTGGTCAAATACTCATCGAGAAGGTCGAATGTTGCTGTTTTTAGTATTTTTTTTATTGTACCAAATTCCATTCAATTTAAGCTAATGAAAACCTATAAATAAACAAAAATAAAAAAATCTGAATTTACAACTCTTCGTCTACGCCAATTAAATGTAAATCGTGCATACACAATTCAATCATGTCTTCGAATACGTTCCAAATGTAGTCGAAATAATCGAATATTTATTCCAATAATATTGAATTATTATTTTTATCCTTATTGTTATTATTAACATAATAAAGACCGAAATTTAAATCTTATTTAAGAATGCCAACCGTTCACACATCTTTATCTACCAGAATTGGATGCCAACCGTTCACACTTATCTTCATTCATGTATTTAATAACTCCGTACTAATTAGGGTGTAAAAGTCCCTTCGTTTCCATTCAAATATCAGTCAAATACGCCCCCCTCCCTATAAATTCATTGCACCCTCTCCAGATTATAAACACACTTTCTTTAATGTATTCCATATTTTACAAGCCTATTTCTTTACAATCATCAAAACTTCTCACCTCTCTTTCGTAATGGTTTTACCCAATTTTGTAAAACGGTCCTAATGGTTATCTCGATAAGGCAAAACGGTCATAATGGTTATCTCGTATACCATTATCCGTTTTATCCATTACTGCAGTAGATGCTCCACGACATCTTCTGCATTATCTCGTGTAGGGAAGCAATTGGTGTGGTTATTGTCGTGTTTTCCACAAGGAAACCACACAGAATCAACCATTCTCCACTCCACTCTATTGTCGTGTTCTAGGGAAGCAACTCCATGCAATTCCATGCAATCACACGATGATTGGGATTCTGGTAAAACCCATCTTTACTACTGCAACATTGATTCAAACGAAGAGTACGTAATTCGTGCTAGCAGTGTAGCAGCTTGTGTAGAGACCGAAATTTGAAGAGATAAATAAGAAATTACTCAAAGATCAATCTGAGCTAATTTCATGGAATTATTGAATTTTATGAAATTTTAGTTAATCGTCTTTACATGCAACTCCATGCAATTCCATGCAATCATGTGATCCATGTAATAAGGGTAATAAAGTCCATTCGAAATGCATTCAAATATTAGTCGGGACAGTCGAAGTTATTCATTTTGGATTTATCTCAACGGCCCTCTCTATTATTATTATTATTATTATCATTATCATTATCATCATCATCATCACTATTATTAATGAACGAAATTACATCTCATTTAACTTCCTGAGCTCTTAGAAATTAACGAGAGTAATAAAAGCTGATTTGACCGCTCTTTATCTACCCAAATTGAATGCAACCACTCACACATATCTTCTTCCATTTTAATTTTTAACTAATTAGTGTGTAAAGTCCATTCGAAATGCATTCAAATATTAGTCGGGACAGTCGAAGTTATTCATTTTGGATTTATCTCAATGGCCCTCTCTATTATTATCATTATCATCATCATCATCATCATCATCATCATCATCATTATTAATGAACGAAATTACATCTCATTTAACTTCCTGAGCTCTTAGAAATTAACGAGAGTAATAAAAGCTGATTTGACTGCTCTTTATCTACCCGAATTGAATGCAACCGCTCACACATATCTTCTTCCATTTTAATTTTTAACTAATTACTGTGTAAAGTCCATTCGAAATGCATTCAAATATTAGTCGGGACAGTCGAAGTTATTCATTTTGGATTTATCTCAACGGCCCTCTCTATTATTATCATTATCATCATCATTATTATTATTAATGAACGAAATTACATCTCATTTAACTTCCTGAGCTCTTAGAAATCAACGAGAGTAATAAAAGCTGATTTGACCGCTCTTTATCTACCCGAATTGAATGCAACCACTCACACATATCTTCTTCCATTTTAATTTTTAACTAATTAGTGTGTAAAGTCCATTCGAAATGCATTCAAATATTAGTCGGGACAGTCGAAGTTATTCATTTTGGATTTATCTCAACGGCCCTCTCTATTATTATCATTATCATTATCATCATCATCATCATCATCATCATTATTATTATTAATGAATGAAATTACATCTCATTTAACTTCCTGAGCTCTTAGAAATTAGCGAGAGTAATAAAAGCTGATTTGACCGCTCTTTATCTACCCGAATTGAATGCAACCGCTCACACATATCTTCTTCCATTTTAATTTTTAACTAATTACTGTGTAAAGTCCATTCGAAATGCATTCAAATATTAGTCGGGACAGTCGAAGTTATTCATTTTGGATTTATCTCAATGGCCCTCTCTATTTATATCATTATCATCATCATTATCATTATTAATTATTATTAATGAACAAAATTACATCTCATTTAACTTCCTGAGCTCTTAGAAATTAACGAGAGTAATAAAAGCTGATTTGACCGCTCTTTATCTACCCGAAATAAATTCAGTTCGAATTGCACTCATATTCAATCACCTTTATAAGTACTCCACTTTCCCCTCCTTTTTAAATTCATATATCCCTCCTATATTCTTTACTGTTAGTATTCTTCATCAATGTATTCCATATCTTACAATCCTGTTTCTTTACCCACATCAGAATTTCTTACCTTTCTTTCATTGATTGATAGAAATGGATATTTCAAGTACGTTGTTTTTCTCTAACTGTCCTAATGGTTTTTTCGATCAGATAATACGGTCGTAATGGTTTTTTCGATCAGATAACGAATCCCTCGGCTGCAGCACATGATGACGAAACGTGCATGCGTGATAGTTCAGAGGCATGGTGTTGTCTGATCGAACAAACGGACATTACAAATGCAAGCCAAACCCAATCTCCAGATCTAGGGGAATGCATGAGCAGCACCTTGTGTAGAGACCGAAATATTGAAGAGATCAAAAAGAAATTACTCAAAGATCGATCCGAGCTAATTTCATGGAATTATTGATTTTTATGTAATTTTATGTGAACAAGTTTTAGAATGTAATCCCGTAATACTCCGTATTAGTTACTCGTGTTTAAATGCAACTCCATGCAATTCCATGCAATCATATGTATCCACCACATAATTAATAATACTGTTAATAATATATGCTATTCCATGAAATCATATGCATCCACCACAACTTTATTAATAATATATTTATCCGCCACAGAATTTATTTTTTGTTTCTACAATGGTACTCCTTGCATATGTAGTAAGCAATTTCTAAACGCATGTTGGCCATCTTTTCTTTTGTCATCTTCTCCAAAGATTTAAAATTCTGATGTTGTGCTCCCAACTCTAACATTTTTAGCGCGAAGATGCCACAGTCACAATCAATCTGTTGGGGTACTGGGCAGTATTCGATTTCCCAATCGGCATATCCGTGTTTGCCGATTTCTCTAATTCCAGCAATGCCTTTAAACCCTCGAAGTTCATCTATCAGCAAACTTTCCATCTTCTCATTCGAAGCTATCCATTTAAGGGAGTCATGCACGACGAGGCGGCACCTATCAAAGTCAGCCTTGATACAGAACCAATGTGAACCCGTGCCTTTCAAATAATATACGTACTTAGTGTTCTTTTTCCAGGCTTTGGTTTTAAATGCTTCCGGCCCCTCGCTGTATGTACCATCCACAATCTTTTCAAGGGGTTCAGACAAAACAGGCCATTGTGGGTCATGCGCATAAGAGTTCAAGTAATTGAAGAATTCAAAAGGCTCAATGCATGAGTCTCCATCATCATTGCATAAACGTCTTCTTAGGATGTAAAGGTACTCACTCAGATGCTAGTTAACAAACAAAAGTAGTATGTTATTAGAAAATGAAAGATATAAGCATTGTTTGTGTACGAAGAATGAAAGGTTAATGCAACTTACAGTATCCGCTACCCAAAGACCTGGAGTGATAAGGTCAGTCCACCATGTTTTCACAAATCCCTGAATCTCCTTGTACTGCGCGAGGTAGCATTGTACAGGGCGGTCCTCTTTAATTGCTTTTACGATGAAGTTCTTAAATTCCAAAAGATCTACTTTAGTTGGCGGCTTAGATAAGAGCTCATCAGCTTTCTTTTTCTTCCTCCCGTCTGCTGTATAAGGAGACTTCAAACTGGCTGACTTCTTTTTCTCTCTCTAAAAAAAAGTGAGTTATTTCGGAATCTTCGACCCCAATTCGAAAGCACTTGAAGTAAGAAACCAAACCTTTCCATACACAATGGCATCAGTAATTTCAGCCTCGTCTCCCAATTCCTTCGGGGGAGAAACAACCTAAAGTTAAATAGAGTGTAAATAAACATGTTGTAAATACTTTGAAGATATTGACTGCATTTCGAATGCAAAGCATCCAGAATTTACCTTGTCCTGCAGAGGTTTCATAGAAGCAGCAGCGTCTGTTTCCATTACCTCATGGCTAGGCTCAACCTACAGATAATTCGAATACATTTGAAAACTTTGACTCTATTTCGAAGGCACTTGTAGTAAGATTTATTATTTTACCATTTCCTGCAGAGGCTTCATTGAGGCAGCATCTTCTGTTCCCATTGTCTCGTGGGTAGACTCAGCCTGCAGAGGTTTCATAGAAGCAACAACGTATGTTTCCATTACCTCATGGCTAGGCTCAACCTACAGATAATTCGAATACATTTGAAATCTTCGACTCTATTTCGAAGGCACTTGTAGTAAGATTTATTATTTTACCATTTCCTGCAGAGGCTTCATTGAGGTAGCATCTTCTGTTCCCATTGTCTCGTGGGTAGACTCAGCCTGCAGACAAGAACAAAAATATGAATCTATTTTTGAAAGGACAATGCATTGTAAGTTAGATTAGAACTTTACCTTTCTGTTCTCCAAACTAAGAACAGAATCAGAAAGAGTTGAAGGTTGATTCTCGTGCGCTTGTTTTATTTCCCCAACATTTTGGAGAATACCAAGTCTTAGAGAAACCTATAGAGTATGAAGTATGAAAATGATGAGAAAGAAGCATGAAATGATATTATTATTTCATTTAACATATGCAAACAAAATGAAATAACTCTATTAAACCCTAAACCTTATGGTCAGGGGAAGGATTGCGTGCCTCAATCTCCTCACAATCACCCATGATTGTCGTCTCTGGCACCTGAACGTTAACAGATCTTACAAATTTAAAACTGAACAAAACGTTTCGACTGCATTCGAGGTATTCGAACATTTCGTATACATTCGATTGCTTCGTATGTATTCGACAGTATTCGACGTACCTCCTGCGGATTCTTGGTTGGTTCTTCTCCTGATTCAGTTACATTCACCTTCATATTTTTACATAAGAATAGATCAGTTCTGATCACTTAAAATTATTGGATGACTTTCAAAAGCTTTCATCATACCTTATTCACAATCTTTTGATTTATTAAAGTTGACAAAGAATCAACTTTTTTTTCAAGCACTTCAAACCTCTTTCTTTGTTCTTGTGCAATGTTATCAATTTTCATTGACATTCGATCAAAGAGTTCTTGAAAGGAATTGGATGAAGGCTTGGCGGGGTGAGGGGTAGGAGACGATGGATTTGGGATGTTGGAATGGGAGACTCTAGAAGGAGATTCCCTAAGGCTCTGACTCCTCTGAGATTCTTGGGGAGAGGAGATGTGCTCATTACGCTCTTCAGAATTGTCTCTTGTTGGTGAAGGGACATTCCGGGGTTTTCTCTTCCTCTCCACCGGAATGTGGACTTCCCCTCTACACTCTAATTTTGCCACAAATGCATCCAACTCGGGGTGTTTTGTGGTCTCTAGAGGATGGAAGTTCAAATACCACTCTGCAGTTGCCTCAAACTTATCGGGAACAAGAATGCTCTTTAGAGTCTGCAACCAAAACAATGACACTTTATTTTTGGAATTCATTTAATTTTTAATCTTTTATTGAGGTATAATATGTATATACCTGCACGTCCCCAACGTAAGCATCCATTTCTGTGTGGGTGATTTTCTTCTTTATTGGAATCTCACCCCAAAGGCAGATTCTTGGCCTAGCTGGGGATGTCTGTGGGCTTNGAAGGAGATTCCCTAAGGCTCTGACTCCTCTGAGATTCTTGGGGAGAGGAGATGTGCTCATTACGCTCTTCAGAATTATCTCTTGTTGGTGAAGGGACATTCCGGGCTTTTCTCTTCCTCTCCACCGGAATGTGGACTTCCCCTCTACACTCTAATTTTGCCACAAATGCATCCAACTCGGGGTGTTTTGTGGTCTCTAGAGGATGGAAGTTCAAATACCACTCTGCAGTTGCCTCAAACTTATCGGGAACAAGAATGCTCTTTAGAGTCTGCAACCAAAACAATGACACTTTATTTTTGGAATTCATTTAATTTTTAATCTTTTATTGAGGTATAATATGTATATACCTGCACGTCCCCAACGTAAGCATCCATTTCTGTGTGGGTGATTTTCTTCTTTATTGGAATCTCACCCCAAAGGCAGATTCTTGGCCTAGCTGGGGATGTCAGTGGGCTTCTTGTTGTAATATTTGCTCCAGTCCCCAAGCAACTCTCCAGAAAAAGGATCTTTTCATATTGAAAGTTTCAATGAGATCACATTTCAATAAAAATTATAAGAAATATTATAATTGAAAAAATCCTTACCCCAATGGGAAGCAAGAAACCAGTATAGTACATGGTTGATGAGGCCCCTCTTCCAATTGATTTGGCCTTAGCAGCTAGGTCTTTCCTCAGTGACCCCAAGGACTCCATAAATGCCCAGGTTCCCCATGGGAAACCTAGAACTGATGTCCACTGTGCAATCATGCCCATAATCCAATCTGGAATTGCAGACTTGTCTCGATCAGCAGGACCCAAGAGAACAACAACAACAAACAAAAGTGCTGCCATTTTCACAGCATCCATCTCCTGGCCTTCTTTCTTTTTTTCCCTGTCCAATCCTTTACAAATTTCCAAGAAACGCTGCACAACCATCTTGTATGTGACTGCAGCAGATTTCTTTCCGTTCTTTGCAGAAGGAAAGTGAGCTCGAATGAAATCATTCTTTCCAGAGGTTAATTCCTTAGAATTTTCAAAGCCGGCGTTAAGATGAGAGCAGTTGAGGCCGCTAATGAGTGAAAACTCCCTCAAGGAGTACCTGACAGGAACTCCTTTGAAAATGAACCACATCTCTCCTTTCCTCTTTATTTTGGCTTCCCTCGCAAGAGTTGCCATAGGAACAGAGGAGGAGGAATACACTCAACATCCAAAAATGAGAAAAAGGGGTGTTCTCCCTAAACAAATCAAGGACTTCTGGATGATCTCAAAGTCCTTCGCGCATCAGATTCTGGAACTCCCCCAAAGAAGATTTCAGGGTTAACTTCATTCCAGGTATTTTATCAATATCAATGGTGCAATCCAACGCTGGAACCTAGAATTAAAACCAAGAACTAATCAAAAAATAGATTCGACTGCATTCGACTGTAACCAATTACTGTAACATTATATTGACTATTTCCATGGTCGAATAACTTGTTCTGTTTCCGAATGTTTCAAAAAACAAACAAAATAAAATTTAAATGTTATAGTTTAGTGTACATGCAATGCACCTCAATTTCCGAAGCATCCAGGAACGATTGACCCTCCACGGATGGAGTTACCTCAGCAGAAATCTGACACCAATCCCAAATATTTCAAAATAAAACAAAAATTAGTTAATTTTAAGTAAGAATTATTTGAAAATACCTGGTTTTCATTCTCCATCTCCTCCCTTTGTGTTTGGGTTAGAATTCTTCTTCTCTTGTACTGGAACCCGCTACTTGCTCCAGTGTTCTCCATGGCAAAGAGATGTGTGGTAGTTCTTGAAGGTATCCGACGATGGTAAGCAATGTAGAACGAAGAGCAGAAGAGTTTCGATTGATGAAGGCGTATCGTTTCCGAAGACTGGTCGGGGGATTAAGGAGAGGTTGGCGCTTCAAACGACGTCATTTGGCCTTTCAAAAAATCATCGTGACGCTTCGAAGGCAACCTAACGGCTGGTCGTTAATTTTAATATTTCCGTTTAATTTTTGAAGTAACGGTAATAAACAGTGACGTTTTGTTTCTTGGTTGGAAGCGCCTTTCTGTCATTTCCCCTCATTTTACGCAAGTAGAGCGGACGCACCTTACGCGTATCTCTGTTAGATCTAGGAGGGAATTCTCATAAATTCCAACCTTTTTCTGCCCTTTTCCATAAATTTTCCCCCGTCTCCCTCTTCGATCTGACCGAGCAGCACCACGATAGCGACGGCGATTCCCACCTGCGACACAGGCGCACGACGATCGGCGGCAAACCAGAACCCCGGCGGCGACGACACGCGACGACAGCAGCCCAGGGATTCGGCGGTGAGCAGACCCGACCCGGTTCCCTGGTGGCTCCCTCTCGATTTCCGGCGGTTGTGCGGAGGCGGCAGGTGGCGTGGGTGACGAATTCCGCCGGCGAACCCCTGCCCAGCAACCTCTGTTCCGGCGACGGCGGATCTGCGGCGTGCGACCCTCTTTTCCGGCAAAGCGCAACGTTAGACCAATGACGATTCGGTGATTCATTCTTTTAAAGAATTAAAATATATTTTAGAGATTTTAATCGTCTCAATATAATGAGACTAATCTGATTATATTTGTAAAGATTTAAAGTAAAAGATTAATCGATACTAATTAAAGAAAAGAATTAATACGGACCAGGTGGAACTAGTAAATACTTGTGGAATGATCAAAAAAGTTATACTGTTGGGTAAGGATTGACGAATCGAATCCAACTATGCGAACGGATCTTAATTCGGAGCAAGTTGGCCCGAAAAGAGGGTGTCTTTACTCAGACATACTAGACAAGTTATTTTAAATTACGGAATACTCCTCTCTGGTTTCTTCTTCTTTCTTCGATTGAAACCGCCGCGACCAGTCCCGTCTCCCTCTTCGATCTGACCGAGCAGCACCACGACGGCGACGGCGATTCCCACCTGCGACACAGGCGCATGACGATCGAAGGCAAATCAGAACCCCGGCGGCGATGACACGCGACGACAGCGGCCCAGGGATTCGGCGGTGAGCAGACCCGACCCGGTTCCCTGGTGGCTCCCTCTCGATTTCCGGCGGTTGTGCGGAGGCGGCAGGTGGCGTGGGTGACGAATTCCGCCGGAAAACCCCTGTCCAGCGACCTCTGTTCCGACTACGGTGGATCAGTGGCTGGCGACCCTCTTTTACGGCAAAGCGCAGCGTTAGACCAACGACGATTTGGTGACCCCCTTGGTTCCGACGATGATCAGGCAGCAAGTCAATCCGGCCAGAACAGGCAGTTTCGACAATCAATTTGGGTGACCGGCTCCGGGTGAAGTTCCTTGGAATTGAATCGAACCAACGAGGTGAGTACGTGGACATCTAACACTAGAATATGCACGTATGTTTGAAGTTTCGTTCATAATTGTTAACGTGGTTGATCTATGTGATTTATCTGTGTAATTGTTTGTTATGGTTTCGGGAATTG